AATATCATCTCTCTCGTATATATACATGTGCTTGTTTCGACCTGATGAATATTAAACTGAGGCGTAAAGATGTCTAAAGCTTTTCTCATTTTTATGTTCACCTTGACGATATTACTTTTCTTCAAAGCAACAATTATTTTAGCACAGAGTGGACATCTCCCTGAGGAGGAAAGTAAGGATCGTTTCTTTATTTAAACCATTTCTTTCTTTTCCATTCACTTTTTAGCCTTCCATTAAACTTCAGGTCATTTCTAAAAATTTGCCTTGATCAAGGTGAATCCGATCACATTTCTATTTTAGAATAGAGTTCTGATTTTTGCAGAGAATGCTCTTCGTGAAATAGCTGATCAGATGGGCAAAAAGGACTGGAACTTCAGCCAAAATCCTTGTGATAAAAGCTCAAATTGGTTAACAGAAAAAATACCCAATATGCCGTGGTGCAACAATTCCCTCATCTGCAATTGTTCTTTCCCTGGTGATGTATGCCACGTAGAATCAATGTAAGTTTTCCTGCTGAAGAAATTTATCATCTTTTTCATTAGTTTAAAACTGATTTAGAAATAGCCATTTGTTCTATTAAATTGCAAGGAATCAGGAACCACTCAGAAAATATATTCTGCTTCTATTGATCTTGTAGCAGCTAAATATGGGGTTTTCACTATCTGATTTTGAGACATGGAATACCATATGATGGTTGGTTATCTGTTTGTCAATTCTTAAAATGATATTTTAAGTGGGAATTATTGTACTTATTTCATACTTAAACCTCAATAGAACTTATGGTGCCAAGTAATCATACTTGACCTTTATAGTCTGTTTTATATTTGCTAAAGTCTCCATCTTCATCGTTTTTAACCAGGATTTGCTCTTAACATATGTATAGGAATTTCTGCAATAAACTGTCTTAGTGATATAACCATAAAAAAGTTCTTTTTCTTCATTCAGTCAAGCATACAACTTTATTTTTCACCACGTTAATGTTTCAATTTACTTCTTTGATTGATAAGTTCAAGTTGAAAATGAAATCACATAACGTTTGTAGTGTTTTCTAGATGAAGCCACTCTAACAAGTTGTTTTACTTCAACCGATCTATATATTTAGCCCCTATTTGGCACGATTAAAATCTACATCTTAATATAAGTAAAAATCAACAATTAATTTCAACGGCATATTTTATGGGTTTCACAACTTTTCAACTGCACATTTAATCAACTTTTATCAAAATTTGCTAAAAATAATTCCTACCAAACATGAGCTTAATATATCATATTGTTTCCTTCAAAATCCCTTCGGAATGATTTTTTCGCTTTGTTTCTTTTACCTTTCAAGAAACTTAATTGTCGCACTTGTAAAATTTAGATGAGAACTTTTCAATTCAGAATACGCTAAAGAAAGCCTCTTTTTTCTTTACAAACAGAGCTCTAAAAGGACAGGATTTGGCAGGTGTCCTTCCGCGCTCACTGGCAAAGTTACCCTACCTCAAGACAATGTAGCAAGATATTCCAAGTTTATTTTCAATTTATTAAATCTACTCAGCTTTTTTGCTTCAAAAGGATAAGACAAGCATCGATCTCACTCTTAATCTATTGGCTGCAGTGATCTTACTCGCAACTATCTCAGAGGTACAATACCCAAAGATTGGGTATATACCAAACTGGAAAACATGTGAGCTACTTCGTAGTTGAGTTTTGGCAATGATGTAATTTCTACATCCTCAGTTAAAGATGAAGTATATGTGGTGTAGGTATCTTAGCGTGAACCGCTTATCTGGACCCATACCGAAATACTTGGGAAACATTACTACCCTTGTATGTATGTGAGTTCCTATCTAGCCATCTCCCGCACTATATATATCAATTGATCCCTTGATCTATCTATATCTAAAACTCTCTACATATGGTCACTCACACATAAACAAGCAAACACCACGAATGTTCTGTTTGTAGTGGATATATTTTCTCAAAACTCTAATTGTAATTTTGAAATCTATTCAACTTTCAGGGACTTGCTGAGTAACAGGTTTAGCGGGACCATTCCACCAGAACTAGGGAAGCTGCTCAATTTGGTTAATCTGTAAGACCTTGTCGATCATCCAAATTTTAATAAATTAACTGATTGAATTTATATAGGGTAAGTTAAACTAATCAGGTTCAAAGGTGTTCGTGGGATTAGGCTTGAGATGATGATTAGCCGAAGTGCAAGTTGGAATATTGCAAAAATTCTAAATTAAACTATGCCGGCTTCTAGGCACATAACAAATATCGCTTTCCTTAAGACCTTTTATTTGTTCCCACCTCCAAGATACAATGAAGCCTCTTAGTGTTGTCTGCATTGTGTACTCATGGGGACAACCCAAACACCAAAGAATTCGAAGTCTACTCGAAGTTTCTATTTTATCTCTGTAGTATGATAACTACAAACAATATTTGAGAAGATATGAGTGCATAAAAGTTGATATTTTGGATATAAATAAGTGTAGAAAATGGTAGAGTGAAAACTGATTACAAATGTTTGTTAGGGACGAAAATATACCAATGGTGTCGCTTGACAGCACGGGTGCTCTGGCCGATTGTGCACCTGCGCCAACCAGGCAGCACATGCGCTGCCATTACTCAACTAGCGCAGATGCACTCGATCCTTTGGCATACCTGCACTAGTTTATGTTGCAAACTAACCCGAGTTTTGGTCCATTTCTTCGTCTCTTGTTCTTGTTCTAACTTGATCCAATGCTTCTTGAAGTATTTCCCTCCTTGATTTAATCTACCAATGTATAAACGACATTCTTTAAGAAATTACTCCAACAATCCTCCACAATTTTCAAAATGAATGATAGTTTTGAAAATCTACCATCCAGAATTGCAAATCCATCTTGAAAACTTCATAAACTTTAAGCTTAAATGAAGGTGTCTTTTGGACTTCAACCTTCACTTAGTGAAATTGTTGCAAAAATATTTAATCAAGGCAATATGGTAGACAAGCTTTGAACAAGCAACCCTATATGGCTAAGCCTGAATTTTCATAAATGTCTTAAGTAGCTAGCCAAGCCACTTTAAAGATGGCACCATCCCTGAATTCATATAGAATACTCAAGTAACTAAGAGTATTCCATAGAAATTCTATCTAAGTCTATTAAAAGCCAAGTGATTTATCTTTTCCCTTATTGTCATGTGTACCAAGCACACTTACATAGGTACAAAATGAATAGTTCTTGCAATCACCTATTTGATATACTTTACTCATTGAACCTAAGAACTTAGATGTTTCAAGTGACTTACATTCCAACCCTATGACATTTAACGAATCAAGGCCTTATATAAATTGTAACATGCAATAGTCAGATTATTTCAATCCATTGATCTTGTATAATTAATTACTTAAACCAAGATCTATTAGTTAAGTCACATCTACCTTTGTCAATTATAATAAGGACATCTAATCACTTAATTTACGTGAATCAATATTTAATTCTCATAGCAGAAGAACAAAGAGTCAACACCTTTGATCAATCAATCCATTCAATCTCCTTCACTTTCTAAGACCTGTGTTTTACACTTCTATCGAAGATCAACTAGGTCCTGAATCAATGAATTTGTTGTGCTAGTTCCTTTTCCAAAATCAAATCCTTTGGGGAAGATATATGCTAACACTTATGTCCAACAATTCGATGTTAAATGATGAACATTTTAGATATACAAGTTATGTAAAAATTTTAAACTCGCATATCATAGAAATTAATCTTTCTAAATATACAACCTTTTGTACTAATGCTATTAGTTTGCTATCCAAACTAATTATATGACTAACAGAAACATATTCAAAATTTGCCTATGTTATCTTTTATTTCAAGTAACTTGACAAAAAGTTTTCTTTAAATTTCCTTGTTATAGCGAACATTCATGATAATAATAAAAAAAATGCTTAGTGATACTAGATCAACATAATTGCAAGTTACTTATTCAACTTATTTGTATCAAGTAATCTTCAAGCATCTAAGCAAAATATGAAATCAAATAATAAATCCAAGATATAACAATAACTTATTTTATTATAACATATCATCAAATAAACATGCTTTTTCCAACGAACACCACTCTTTGGCAAAAAAAATAAAAGACTCAAAACAAACTTGAAAGCATACTTTAAATAAATTCAAAGAAAAAAGTGTGACCCTTTCATATGTAATCTTGTTGATCCCATTTTTGTCTAGCTCTTGTATTGCCAATGGTTCGTTTTCTGTCTCTTTTGGCTTTGGAGTTGTAAGCTTTTAAACCATACTGAAGGTCGTGAGAAGAAAGTGAAGTTTGTTTTGCCATCTCCGAAAATTAGAACCATTGAACCTTCCAATTTGACAAAGTCTACTGCACAATCTCGTGACAAAAAAATTGGATTCGCATAGCAAATTTGAAATAACGTCTTAAAATTGTTGGTGGAATTAGTCTTGAGATGATAAGTGGACGAACTAGAAGTTGGGATATTAAAGAAACTCGAACTTAAACAATACCGGCTTCAAATGCCACTTTCCTTGAGATGTTATTTGTCCTCATCAATCTGTTATTTAAACGAGACTGCAAATATGCCTCCACAATATAATTAAACCTTTAGTGTTTTCTGCGTTGTACAAGCATGAGGACAATTCAAACATCAAAGAATCTGAAGACTGTTACCCCTCGATGCTGAGGTCCAGTAAAACGAAGCCACGTGGCGAGACATGTGGGCAAGAAGTCAACAAGAGAAGTCAAAGGAGACCCAATAGGTCAAACACACTAAAGTAATCAAACGATCGAGGTCCCGCACAGCGTCTGAAGCCCTCACACTGCATGACTAGAAGTTTGGAAAGAAACTAACACCCTCCACTTCGGACCCACCTCGGATCTCTCCGAGGCACTCAGTTCGACCGAGGCTCACGAAATCGACGCTGTTTCCTTGTAAAAAGGTTCAATTTGAGGACCTCTCCGAAGTGATTGATGTAACGCTTGTAATAAAGTTGTAGGTGTGTCAGCCTACTGCATAGTGTGGCTGATCTCCTATCAAATTATTAATTGTGTGAGTAGACAGTGATGTGAAGCCTTAGTAAAGGAGATAAGACCACGTGACTCCAATCCAACGGCCACCACGTCAATCAAGCCAGTATAAATGGATCCCCCTTGTAATAAGAAAAGGGGAGGTTGAACCATTGTAAAAAAGGAGAACGTGTAATCATATATTTGGGTCGTGCGCATGAACTCTCAAGAAAGAAGAAACATATTAACATCTTATATATCCTTCCACATATTCCGGCTCACGATCTCATAGATTAGTTTGATCTCAATTCGGTGATCGTTGTTAGCGCGATCGTCTTTATTCCACTCGTCGGAGCTCGAATATTTTTCGTTTCTCGCAGCAAAGTACCTCCCGCGTCCATTTAATCATTGCTACCATTATTACTCCGGTAGGAACGCGTCGGAATCGTACTTGACTTGGTGAGAGTGGGCTCCGGCATCTGTTGATTCATTTTTTTGGGGTCAACAGATTGACGCCGTCTGTGGGAAGTCGTACGGTTAATCACGAGAACACGTTGAAAAAAGGCTAGACGTCGGTTGGAAACCTGGCTGAAAAAGTCCTAACCCTTGAAAAGGGGATATCCCTGAAAAAATGAGTTGTTAGAAACTTGAAACCCTTGAAGAAAGGGGAAATCACGTACTAAGTATTTTTGCGAAAGATGAGTTCAAATGATGAAAGTGAACCTAGAAGAACGAGAGAATACCCTGAGGAAGGGGAACCATTACAGGCCGCCCCAGCTGCTCGCCCATGACGATGTGGATCTAGAGGTGGGAGAAGGATTACAGCTAGGCTCACTAGAGAAATGGCCACAATGTTGGCCAATATGAGGAACACAACACAACAGAACTTGGCCATGCAAGAGATGCTGATGAACATGCAGGGGCGATGAGGACACCATATCCCTCCATATGCAGCCCCTGAAGACGTATTCCCAACTTCTCAAGGATATTACCAAGAGGAAGAAGAAGTCCAAAGCCAAATGGTTGGGCATCATCGTACTAGGATGGAGGCTCCGCAGGAAAGGGAAGTCGAGGTGGATATATCAACTAACTATGCTTCAGAAAGGCCACATGAAGCGCCATTCAACTTTTCTTCGAACTATGAGCCAGAAGACAGGCCTCAGAGGTCGACCAGTGTCTTCGATTGGATAGGTCCAAGGCCGCCTAGAGATAGGCAGGACCACTCATCCCAAATGCCTAGAAATAGGCAGACCTATCCTCCTTCTCTAGAGCCTGGGAATAGGCAGGAGGAACCTCGACAATATGAGGGGCAATCACCAACTCATCAAGAAGAACCTCAGGTCCACCTCCTAGAAACAGGCGCGAAAGAAGAAACGAGGCGATGAATCAAGCATGACCCTTTCAACCACCCCCCAGGCCCACTAGGGAGAGGATGGAAACTCGGATGAAACTCAAAGGTCATGCGACCTTGATGATGATCATCATCATTCACCTTTCTCAGAGGCCATAAGAAACGCTCCCATGCTGAACCAATTCAACCTCCCCAAAATCCCCAAAGTATGATGGGAGAGGAGATCCAGCGAAGCACATCAACAGCTTCAAAACTCACATGAATCTGAAGGGTGTCACTCCAACTATGAAGTGCAGAGCATTTTACTTAACCTTAGGTGGAGAGGCAGAGATCTGGTATACAAGGTTGCCAGAAGGAAACATTCAAAGTTGGCCTGACCTCAACAAAACTTTCTTGAAACGCTTTACTACAAGCAAAGAAGGGAAAATGCCAATTCAACGATTGTAAGATATGCGACAACAACAAAGTGAGTTACTAAAAGGTTTCTTATCCCGTTTCACCTATGAAATGACCTATTGTGTGCAAGTAATGGATAGGGAAGCACTGACTACTTTGCGAGGAGGATTAGACATGAATTCCCTCTTTTGGAGGGACTTGCAGAACAAGGACCCAACCACCTATGACGCCCTATTGGAAACGATAAGACACGAAATCCTCAATGAAGAATTGAAAGATCATAGGAACAGGGTCATCCAGGGTCTACCACCTCCGCAATTGCAAAGGGGAAAGGGCCCCTCCTCCAATTTGATGGACCATCAGACACCATTAAACCATGGACAAGAGCTTGCTGCGGCAACCCTCAGCGCCGTACCCACTTTAGCTTATGAGGAGGTCAATCCTAGTGCTGAAACGCATTAGCGTCATCCTAACCCGAAGCACCCACTGAGGGGCCGAAGTAGGGAACGATGCACTGAACCTAGAAATAGGGACAAAGCGCCCAGTTATTGCACATACCATCGGTCCTACGACCTTCATATGGAGAACTGTTGGGACGTCACAAGGCACTCCCGAAACTAGATTCAAAGGAAAGGAAGACGTCCTCTAAGAGAAGCCCCATAAAGACAAAACCAGCTGCATAAGAATGATAGGCAGCGTCGACCTAATCAGAATAACCCTCCAAGAGGAAAGGAAAATGACACTGAAAGGCCCAGAAAAGGTCAAAGGCAAAGACGAAGTCCCCCACCTAACAATAAGCAAAAGCCCATCAGAGAAATCGATACAATCAAAGGAGGCCCGCATGTTGGGGGAGAATCTAGGAATTCTCAAAAGAATTACACCAGGGAAGCAAGTGATCCTTCCATGACAA